TAAGCATGTTCTAGTTTAGTTCTATTTTGGGGATTACAATGTATAATCTATAGTCTTTTCATGATCAAGAGCACTTCATTTGTTGTAATGGATGTTGATGTATATGAATAATTTTTCTAAGTTGATTATCTTGTTCTAGATAATGTCTTACATTAATCATATTGCTTATATTTTCATGGTGACAATGGAAATAAGGTTATAAAATGGTTTAATGGCATGTTAGTAGATATCTTTGATAGACCATTGCTTAGGCAATCCCTTTGATGGTTTATGCTTAATCTCTAGTTTCATGTGCTTCATCATGTTATCAAGGGCTTGATAATCTTTCATTTAAGTAAGTGTGTTTAAGCTGCACTCCAGTTTAGGTAGTCTAAACATATTCACCCTTGATGGATTATTCTTATTTGTGATTCAATGTACTTCTTGTTAATTATATGGCAACCATGTGTTGCTATATAATTCTTGACCATTATATATTATTTTTCCCCTAAATTAGTTATAATCTAGCATGTGTATAGGGATGGAGGTAGATTCACTTCCTTAGTTTTCTTTACTCGTAATTTATCTCTTTTAATTCTCGCAAGCTTTTATTCTATGAACTTCACATTCTTAGTTTTAGTGACAATCCAACAAATCCTCTATAAACCCCTTTATCATTCTAAAATGATTCTAGACACCTTGGTTGCCATAGACTAGCAGTCCCAGTGGTTCGACTTACCCGGCCAATAGCCCTATTTTACAATGATTTGTGCTATTGCAAATGTGTTGATTTAAAATTGAGAATCGATCCGTCGATCAGTTTGCTGTCATAATGTATATATTTCTATCATCTCGTTGATCGGGCCTTGCTGGGAGTGAAGGCACTTCTTTAGTTCTCATCCACCAGTCCAAGATCATTCAAAATTTCCCAAAGTAAGATCCCACATAATTGAGAAGGCCGCCCTACCTTCGTTTCATGCTATGTTTGAACTTATGAAGATATGGCAATTTAAAGGCGATCTCCATAGGGCTCTAATGCCTTAGTGCACTGTGAGGCTTAAAAGGGACTTGGATGTTGAGCCTTCGAGCCCTAGTAACTTAGTATGGGCTAGGGCTGGCAATACTCGAGGTCTGGGCTCTCAAGGCTTAGTGACTTGGTATGGTACTAAGGTTTGGGATGCTCGAGAATTGGGTTTTCAAAGCTTATTGACCTGGTGTACTGCTAAGGTTTGAGTTGCTTGAGGATTGGTCCCTCGAGGCTTAATGAGCTGGTGTGATGTCAGGGTTTGGGTCGCTTGAGGGTTGGTTCCTCGAGGCTTAATAATCTGGTGTGATGCCAGGGTTTGGGTCGCTTGAGGGTTAGTTCCTTGAGGCTTAATAACCTGGTGTGATGCCAGGGTTTGGGTTGCTCGAGAGTTGGTTCTTTGAGACTTAATGACCTGGTGTGATGTCAAGGTTTGGCTCCCTCGAGGGTTGGTCCGTCGAGACCTTAATGACCTGGTGCGATACCAGGGCTCGGGATACTCGAGGGTTAAGCCCTCGAGGCTTGGTGACCTAGTGCGATGTGTAATGTTTCTGATTTTTCTATTTTTTAATTTTCTGGAATTTTTTTATTTTTCTGGATTATTTTAGTTTTTGCCTCGTTTTACGTGCTAGGCACAGTGAGGTATGTCGGGTATGTTCTGAGAGTTTATTGGGGCATTTTTTCGAGTTCGAGGCTTTTAGAAATACTTTGTTGAGCATTTTGGCATTTTTCAAATTTTTGGGTCGGGTGGTACCCGCAACCGGTTTTGTCGTGCACGAGTATTATTTTTTGGGGCCATTGTATTTCATACATTATTATTTGATGTATATTGATATGGTTACATGTTTAAATGTGTGGTTGTAATGTGTTTAGTGTGTGTGTGTGTGTGTGTGTGTGTGTGTGTGTGTGTAATAATGATAAAGGAAGATATTTTGGCCTGTGGGACCCACCAATTGTTTGAACAATTATAATGAACACATGGTCATTTGATGAACATTTTTTCCCCTTCTCTGTTGTGCCACTTCTTCCTCTCTCCACAAGCTTTTCTTTTTCTTTTTCTTTCACCCCTTTAAAGCTTAGATCCCTCCTTTTCCATTAGGATTTTGGCTTTGCCACTAAAGGCAAAGTCAACAAGCACGACGAGAGCTTTGTTTTGATTGGAGCAATGTCCCGTTTGGAGCACTATGGATTTTTAGGATTTGCATTTATTTTGAAATTTTTTCTCTAAATTGAGTTAGGGGTTTCTAATACACATATTCTTAAATTTCGGTGAATTAATTCCTCATAATTTGGCCCTAGCATGTTTAATTTACGTAAAATTGTTTATAGTGATTTGGGGTTTATATGTATCGAATGTGGTATTTGTATTTTATGAGATGATTGAGTTGATATCTATGCCTACTTGAAATATTATGAAATAACATGTTAGATTTAAAGTGTCATATGCTTAAAATGTTTATGTGCTATGAAGGTGAGGTTGATTATTTGAAATTTAATGTGTTAATTTGCTCCCAAAGTATGCAAGCATGATATAGATAAAGTGTATGAAATTTTATATTGTTATGGCATTAGAAGCGCATAAAGCATTCATGCACAAGCATTGTGAAATAAATGGGAAAATTGTTTTAAAAAAGAAAAAAATTTCATTTTGGGGAAAGATTTTGAAAAGTGGTTTGCGAAAATCCGAGCGCCTAGGAGCTGTCTAGTGGTCCGTGGTGTTAATGTGACCTAAAGAGAACTAAGGATAGATCTTAGCGTGGTTGAGCTAGCTAGGCCCCAAATGATGCCCTAGAATTGCCTTGTGGTTAAGAATAAATAGCCAATCATTCTCTCATGACACCATTGAGCTGCTATGGGTCAGGTTTAGGGCTGCAACTCTGGCAGATTTGAGGTATAACTTGAGTCCAACCCATTATATGAAATGCAAAACCCAAGCCCAACCCTACCCCTATCATCAACCTTAACTACTCAACCCGAGCCCAACCCATCTTTCTACTTTTAAATTCGGGCTTGTAACTCGAGCTTAGATTTCGAGTTAAAATTTCGGGTTAATTTGGGTTACTCATATGGCTAATCTTTATATTGAAAATTAATATGATCTTGAATTAGTTTTAGATTAAATTACTCTTAAATAAGAAGAAATTTAAAGACTTTTTGTAGATTTTTAATAAATTACAAATAAATTTTTAGAAAATTAATTCTCCTAAATTTTACCATACAATAACTTAAGATTTAACAAAAAAGTTGAAAAGAAAAAAAGTTATCATAGTTTAAATATTATATATAATGTATTTAAAAGTAAAACTATATATGAAAATAATACTAGAATTCGGGTTCAGGTTGTCTCGGGTTGCTAATACTTCAACCCAAGCTCAACTCTAATTCAATTCTGGTTGAGATTTTTCAACCCAAGCCCAACCTTAATTGTAAAAATAATTACGCAAGCCCGTGAAAAACCGGGCTAAACTCGGGTTGGGTTTGAGTTACCTAACCCAAGTTGCACCCCTAGTAGGATTGCATTAACAGTTTGGAACGGTGAAACAGAAATATTTTGAAAATGGGAAAGTGACATGAGTATCTCATTACATCCCAATGGCATTGCATTCCGTTTATGTGGATTGGGTGATCTTGTGTTTGTATATCTTTGTAAATTTGTGATCTTGTGACAGTAACTATATTCATTTCGTAGTATTTTGAAGAATTTCTCATGTAATGTTCATCGGAGCATGTAAATGAGCAATGTTATTATATTTTGGATGGATGGGATGACTATAGGATACTTTGAATGATTTACTAGTGTTTATGATTACGGAACCTTATAGTATATTTGCAATGAGTTGGGACAAGTTTATGACGGATTTTGGCTACCAAACGAGCCCGGTTGATTGCAGGACCATCGGAGTTTTAGTTTGCAGGTTTTGCAGTTCTCAGGGCTGTCGGCCGGCTGGCTAGGCATGTCAGTAGACCGACAGTGCATTTCGAGCCTTTCCAAATAGTTGGGTTCTCAAAGGCATTGTTTCGGCCGGCTGACTAACTCAGTCAGCCGCCGACCATGTAGATCCAGCCAGTCGACATAAGGCTGTTAGTCGGTTGACGCTGCTTTACCCACATGCAGTTCTAACCCTTATGTGTTGTTAATAGTCAAACCATGGGATGACCTATATATATTATGTATCGACATTTGATAGGACCTTAATGCCTTAGATGACCTCGGATTGGGGTAAGAACCCGAATAACGATTCCGCGATTGATGATTGACACCAACAAAGAGAAAGGGCACTACTATTATGAAAATTTTATTATAATGCATACAAAGATAGAAGGTTGTTTGGTCGGACTATTGGCGGTAATTATTCACTTTGAAAATTATTCTGTAAAGGAAAAAATAAAAGAAAAGACAGGGCAAAACCGCTACACGTTTCACAAAAAATAATTATGACAAATAGCTTATTATCCATGGACCATTTCTCATCCTCGTCTTTTTGCAAAGTGGCCATCACTTTTATTTCCATTTTGAAAAGTCAGTAAGATCAAAAAGAAAGAAAAAAAAAGTTGGGGTTCACATAAAAAAATAAAAATAAAAAACAAGGGCAAAATCACTACAGGTTTCACAAAAAATAATTATAGAAAACATCCATGGACCATTTCTCATCCTCATCATTTTGGAAAATGGCCATCACTTTTATTTTCAAGTCAAAAAGTCTGCCAGACCAAAAAAAAAAAAAAAAAGAAAAGAAAAAGTCAGATATTAAGTTTTGTCCAATGCTTTATTTTATTTAAAGAAACCTAAATGTGAATTTTGATTAGACTGAACGAACTAGTAGGGGGTTTTAGTTGTACGTCTCGTCAAGTATCACATGGTTTTATTCTTTGTCACAGTGTATTGAATTGGTCGTCTTTCAGTGAAGTCTGTCTCATCTAGTACCATATAGACTATATAGACTTATTCTTTGTCACAGTGCATTGAATTTGTGTGCCAGTGAAGTATATTCTATAAATGACCAAAGTCCAATATTTGAAGTGCTCAGCAGAACATATCATTTGATCTGAAAAACCAAAGCCCCCATGGACTTGAAAAAATTGCTTCTGCAACTCACGGTTTTGGGAGTTATTTCAGCAGCCATGGCAGCACCAAGAAGCGGTCAAGCAAAGCCGGGTTGCCTAGACAGCTGTGGCAACGTTAGCATCCCATATCCATTTGGCACAAACCCGGGCTGCTACTACGACGAAGAATTTCTCATAACTTGTAACAACACTTTCAATCCTCCCAAACCTTTCTTAACAGATAGTACCATTGATGTCACCAACATTTCACTCAATGGTCAGCTGAACATTTTGCAGTATATAGCCCGCGATTGCTACAACCAGTCGGGTTCACAGATCTCACATAACGTACCCTCACTCCAGTTGTCCAAATTCAGGATCTCTAGTACCAAAAACAAGTTCACAGCAATTGGCTGTGACACTTCCGCTAAAATTCAAGCTTACCTAGGTGAGAATGAATACGCGAGTGGTTGCATGTCCATATGTGACAGCATAGACTATGTCACCAATGGGTCGTGCTCTGGAATTGGTTGTTGCCAAACATCGATCCCCAAAGGAGTAAGCTATTATGAAGTGACATTGGAAAGCTATTACAATCATAAAAGAGTGTGGAATTTCAGCCCCTGCAGTTTTGCCTTTGTTGTTGAAGAGGATAAGTTCAACTTCTCCTCGAACAATCTTAGTGACTTGGAGAATGTAGAAAAGCTTCCGGTGGTGCTTGATTGGGCGATTGGAAATGAGACATCGTGTGAAGATGCAAGAAAATCCTCTGGATATGCATGTAAAGATCATAGCAATTGTTATGAGGTTGATAATGGTTCCGGTTATCGTTGCAGTTGCTTCGATGGTTACAATGGAAACCCTTATCTCCCCAATGGTTGTCAAGGTACCTATCAAATTCATGTAATTGGGTAAAATATGTTCATTGCTTTTAGTTAAATTACCTAGAGTAATTTATGTGATGATTGACTTCTCTTTTGATTGTCACGCAGATACAGATGAATGTAATGATCCAACACTCAATCTGTGTGAAAAGAAATGTGAGAATACAGCCGGGAGTTACAAGTGTTCTTGCCCCAAGGGGTACCATGGAGACGGCAGAAAAGATGGAAGTGGATGCACTGCTGATCAACTACTGGTTATTAAGATTGTTCTAGGTAAGTTTTTCGGCTTAATCACTTTAAATTCATGCAAATTTGGTTATGGATATTGTGAAGAAAAATAAAAATTCAAATCTAACAAGTAAACTCGGTAGTCTTATTTTATTTTTCCCCATTAACTTCGATGTTAATGGCAGAGGAAAACCAAATTTTCATTAATTTTTTCTCAAACAAATGTGTAGCTTAGTCTATAAATTGTGAAATATGAATTTATGAAAATTTTCTATTATACCCAAGGTATGTGCGTTATCAAGTTCCTCAATTGATTTGCGAGTGTATTTTAGTCACATAACTCCAATTAATTTCGTGCAGATAAAAAATTCATTTTTCATGTGCTGACAAATTGCGTCTATTGGAAAGTCCGATGCTGAAACATTCAAAATTCTACTATGTCGTAGAAATCGAAGTTAGAGGGAGACAAATTAATTGTTTTTCAACATTACCTTTCAACTTTTGTCAAAATTTTCCTGTCGCATGTTCTCATTAATGAAAGTCTAAAATATGGTGATAGACTAAGTAAGATTCAACCATATTATAACTCGTCGTTGGTTTGACTGAGTCAAACTAAAGAACAGTGTTGCAATTTTACTTCCAAAACTAACACTACAAAGGAATTTGTCTTGGTTAAGATAATTATTCCCCAAAGTGAGAGATTTGCGTTCTTAATGCATTACTTTTCTGAAATGTTCTAAGTTCTGGATAAACAATGACTTGATCAAATAGAAGTCTAAAAATTCTTTTCAATATTTCAAATGCAGGTATTGCAATTAGTGTTGCAGTTCTACTTGTGGGCTTCACTTGGTTGTACTTGGGAATCAAGAAAAGAAAGCTCATTAGGCTCAAAGAGAAGTTCTTTCAACAAAATGGAGGTTTAATGTTGCAACAACAACTCTCTAGACGGGAAGGGTCTACCGAAACAGCAAAAATTTTCACAGCAGAAGAGCTCAAAAAGGCCACTGACAACTACAGCGAGGACAGGATTGTAGGCCGAGGAGGTTATGGAACAGTTTACAAAGGAACTTTAACCGATAACAGAGTAGTTGCCATCAAGAAGTCCAAAGTAGTGGATCAAAGCCAAATAGAACAATTCATCAACGAAGTGATTGTACTCTCACAAATCAATCACAGAAATGTGGTCAAGCTTTTGGGCTGTTGTTTGGAGACAGAAGTCCCTTTATTAGTTTATGAGTTCATCACGAACGGAACTCTCCATGACCACATACATAATGAAAGTAAGACGACTTCACTTTCCTGGCAAACTCGTCTGAGGATCGCTGTAGAAACTGCCGGAGTGCTCTCTTATTTGCATTCTGCAGCTTCGATTCCTATCATCCATAGAGATGTCAAGCCTACGAACATACTCTTAGACGACAATTACACTGCAAAAGTGTCTGACTTTGGAGCATCGAGGTTAGTTCCCATTGATCAAATGCAGTTATCCACAATGGTGCAAGGAACTCTTGGATACTTAGATCCCGAGTACTTGCAGACAAGTCAATTGACAGAGAAAAGCGATGTTTATAGCTTTGGGGTTATCCTTGTTGAGTTGCTAACCGGAAGGAAGGCAGTTTCCTTTGACAGGCCAGAGGACGAGAGAAACCTAGCTATATATTTTCTCTCTGCGTTGAAAGGAGATCGCTTGTTTGAAGTTCTTGAGCGCAGTATTGTTCATGAGGAAAATACTGAGCAACTCAAAGAGGTTGCTATTCTTGCAAAGAGGTGTTTACGAGTAAATGGGGAGGAGAGACCGACAATGAAAGAAGTAGCAATGGAACTGGAGGGACTAAAAATGATGGAGAAACATCCATGGGTTAACGATGAATTGAAATCTGAAGAAACTGAGTACCTGCTAGGTGACGCATCGGACACTTACAGATTTGGAGTTACCGGCAACACAACAGGTGCGTATGATAGCACTAGAGAGCATATTGCTCTGCAAATAGATGGTGGAAGGTGATTGTTTTGTCATTTGTGCATATATATATCTTCATTGAAGGTGTGTGTTAGATTATATATTCAAAATGTGTTTCTACTAATTGTTGTACTATTGTAGGCCATTACACTTTTTCTTTTTCTTTTTTGTAGTTTCTGTTACAAGAGTTAACTTTAGCAACAGAACAATTTGTAGTTTCTGAATGCTGCAAAATAAAAGATTGAACACATGGTTGGCAGGGAAAAAATAGAGGGATTTTTCTTTTTTCTTTTTTCTTTTTTTTTTTTTTTTTAATGAATCCTTATATGTCTTTTAGGTGGATTTTTAGGTCCCTTAGATTTCACTTTTGGGTGAGGTACATCAGCCAAGGTAATTATGGGACTCTGTTTTTGTTCAGTTCCGGTTTTTTTTTAGTTTTTTTTTTTCTCCCACGTTATTGAAACAAACTTTCTGCCACTAGACCACTTTGTGGTAGGTAAATATGGTAATCTCCCCATAGGAATTTTGAGGGATGAGAGAATAGTTGCCCTCAAAAAGTCTAATTAGTGGACGGAAACCAAATTGAGTATTAAGGGTATGACTGAAAAATATACTACACAAGTAGTTTAGGATTTAAATGTAAAGAAGGCAAAAATAATAATAAAAATAAAAGTAAGACTTATTGGCTTTAAATGAAACTTTTTATGACTAATTTGTTTTTCATTAAAAAAAAAAAAAGAAATGTAAAACTTGGTGGTAATTTTCCCTTATCATTTTCAAATATAGAAGTACTTTTTTTTTTCTTTTTTTTTTTTCTTTTTTCTTTTCTTGTAAATTGAATTTTATACTCCAAAAAGAAAGAATGTACAAGAGGTAGAAAAGATAAAAGGAAAACTATTTTCAGGCCGAACTGCTTAAATCTTTTTGGGCTGAAGGACCATGCATCCATTGTTTCGGCCCAAGTCTTATGCTGAAGACTCGGTCTTGAATAGCATAGCTCAAAATGAAAACGGGCTAACGGGCGTGAGAGAGAATACTAGAGACAAGGCCCAAATAAAATGGAGAAAAGCTCCCCAACCAGCCCAAGCACAAAACCTAAAAACCCCAGGAAGAGTAGCAAACAAAAGAGAGCTATTTTGACTGATCAAAAAGTATAAGACAATATTTTGGTCCCTCTTTTCCATACGACACGCCACACCACCCCACCCCACCCCAACCCCACGTCATAAATATACACGCCCAATCAAATATTCCTAACTTTTTAAGGGCAACTGTTCTCTCATCCCCTCAAGTAGATATTATCTTGTTATGGTTAACATTATTATTATTATTATTATTATTATTATTATTTTTTTTTTAATGCATGATCATTGGTCAGGTATAATAATGACACGGTATGCATGGTGTATTTAATATTTACTTTTTTAGAAGACTTTAAAAAAATTTCAAATTTCAAAACTAGTCTTCTAGCTCAAAAATACATACCTCTCGATTTCAAAAAAAGTATTCACATTTTTATTTTTAACTATCCCAAAATATACATTACTATTTTAACCTTCTTTTATTAAATTTATAAAAAGTAAATTATCACGTCATTATGGATTCACTATAGATAAATTTGATATTTCATTAACTATCAATACAATAAAAAAAATACTAAAAAAAATACTAAAAATCGTCTTTTTAAAAAATTAAATTCTAAAAAATAGACATTTTATTGGGACCGTGGTAATATTATTATTAAATTTGAAATTTCAAAACTTACGATTGGTTTTCAAAAGACATCTTTTCTTTGTTGACTTTTCAAAATGAAAAATATAAACACTTGTTCAGAACATCGTAATATAAATATGTATAAATTAATATAGTTAATTGTCAGAGAAATTTTTTAGATGGCTCTGACCAATTACCGTTAAACAGTAAATAAAAAAACTAAATAAAATTTTCACATTTTTAACATAATAATTATTTGGCTGTTTAATGGTGAGTGACTCAGCGGCAATGATTGAATAATGTAATAATTTCCGGCTGCCAACATTCATCCATACACACACACTATTTGGCCATCAATTTGAACTTAGGCCATCTGCACCGTCTTTTCAGATTTTGACTCTTTAAAAATATCACATCAACTTTTTCAAGAGTCACGTCAATAACTTTTGCTTTCCAGAAACATACACTCCATTAAACTCTTCGAATTTTCACTTTAAAAAAAAACAATAATAATAAATTAAAATTATAAATTATAGCCGTTCAGACACTGTTTGTGTTAACCAAATAGTGCCTTAACGGCCAAATACACTATTTGTGTGGTACACATTTAAATTTAAAGCAAAAAAATAAAAATAAAAAAAAAAACAAAATTTAAGGGGAAAAAAGAAAAGTTTTTAATTTATTTTTAGCCCAATTTTTTTTTTTTTTTTGGACAAACAATGCCTAAACAATATATTTTTTATTTAATGAATTTTATTTTATTTTTTTCCCAAAAAAAGAGCTCTAAATAACCTATTTTTAGGTTTTTTCAAAAAAAAAATTCTGCCAAACAATGCCTTAAGTACTGTGCATAGCCGTTGGAGAATAGAACAAAAAACACCTAATGCAAAACGGCTTTGTTTTGCATTAGAAAAAATAAATAAATAAAAATTACAGTGATCACGGGCCGGCTCGCTGAATACCGCGAGTCAGCCCGCGATTACTAGTGGGCTCCAGTCCATTTAGCTAGGCTGCTCCGCGGCCTTTAGTCTAATGGCTCGCAAAAATTGAACTTTCGCGACTCCAATGCAGTTGCTCTTAATCTCATGTCACGTGCAAAACAGAAACTTGTCCCCTTGACCAAGGGTATAACGTGCAACCATGTGTTCAAGTAGGAGGCAGAGCTGTGAATAATTTTGAGCTAACCGCATTGATATTTTTTAGGAAATGAAAGTAACTAAAAGCCAAGATGGTGCTCACAAACAATTTGCAACCCAAATCAACTAAACAGACCACATTGTCATTCCGTGATGCTACCTTACAAAAAGAAAATGTCTATATGCAAAACGACAATCTCGAAATATCGCTCCTGTTATCTTTTCTATATTGATTCATTTCAATTCCAAAATCTTGTGTACTGACAAATTAAGCTAGATTCTCATAAGGATTGTGACACCTCTCCAAATCTTCCACTGTTTTTATGATCTCTATTGGATCACAACAAATGAGTTTGTTTGTCTCCGGGTTTTAGCCGTCTGACTTTACTCTTCTGTGTGGCCCCTATTTCCAATCCACTTCATCTGTCCCTTTTTAGTTAACATAATTTAGGACACCCCTCGTGTATCCAAAATAGCCCCTCAAAAATAGTAATTTTTGCAAACAAACCTATTTTGTGTTCTTTAAAATTTAGGTAAAATTTCAATTAGTCCCTCCAAATTGTTTCAGAATACTTATTTATTAGCCCCAAAAATGATGGAGTCTAGAAATTAACAGAACTTGTCTTTCTCAAAGTTCATAGAAAATTTCATCTGAGATCATTTTAGAATTATTGTAAAAGTTCAAATATGGTATGGTAGTCCTTACAAAAATTGACGCTCACATTGTAATGACCTGAACCCGTAGGTCCGAACAGTTAGTCTGGTCCTTAACCGAATTTGATGTCGACTAGAGACAACACCATTCTTTCCTACGTCAATACATATTATATGTGTCATTCTAGTTTTATAAAAAAAATAAGTAATAATAAATAAATAATAATAAAATGAGATTATAACTAAAAAGTATGTCAAAATAGTCTACTAACCCATCAAACCCTCTGGAGGAGCGTCGTCCGCCACTTGCCATCCGTGTCCTAAAAAATATTAAATATAAGGGGTAAGAAAATTGCTCAGTAGGTGGTGTCTAAGACACACCTCTTGTGACCCCGTGAATCCATACAATGAATAAAAATGGGGAATATGGATCATACTATGTTGGAAAGGAATACAACATTAATTTCAATTTCATGATAAACAATGTCGTGCCATGATATACAATGCCATGTATGTCGCTCCCCTTACTTAAAAACACTTCCATTCTTCACTTTTCAAACCGTTAATATAACCCCCTTCGGTAACCCTTCAGCGACAAGAAAAGTATTGGTTACTGTCCCTAACCTTTGGTATCCCCGCAGCGTCATTTGGGATCCAGATAGCTCAACCACGCTAGGGCGATCTCCCTAATTCCCTCTAGGCTACATTAACGCCACAGACCCTCAGTACCCCCTTGGCGTCCGGTTTTCACAAAATTCTTTTCTCAATTTTTTATTTTTTATTTTTATTTATTTATATTTTATTTTTCAAAACCCCTTTTTCATTTCAAAACATTTCCCTTCCTTCATGCCCAATGACATACATGTATATTTCATGCCTTCAAAAATTATTATTTCACAATTAATATGCTCCTTCATACAAGTTTCTAGCAAGTTAATAAACATCATAGGCATAGAGAATCAGCACATAAAACATGTTCTTTCATACAATTCAATTAAATACACATACTCACATACTTCATATACACAATCAAGTCAATTAAGGAGTAATTAACACAATTTAGCAAAATCAAACACAATAGGCATAGAGATTCACCACTTAAACATGCTTTTACATATCACATCAATTAATTCACATAATTGCATGCTTTAAATACACAATTAAGCCATTTAAAGGAATATTCAACATAATTGAGCATGTTATACAGCAAAACACATAAAAAAAAAAAATCTCACAAATGAGCAAGAAGTTGTGGATTAAGAACCCCTACCTCTTAGGATGCAAAAACTCTCAAAATGGGTCTCAATTTTCAGACTTCCTAGAGTGGCAAAAAGCTGAAATTGCTAGTATAGATTTGAAGGTCTCGTTGTGAGCTTCATTTTGCCGCAAACGACACTCAAAAATTCCAAAGGATGAAGGAGAAATCTTGGATTGAAAATTGAAACCTAAAAGAAGAAAAAAAAATCCAGAAGAAGAGGGAGAGAAAGAGAGCTACGGGAGAGTGATAAGAAATGAGTGACCAAGTGGTCTCTAGACCACTTTAAATGGTTGTGGGCCCCACCTAGAATTTTATTTTCTTTTTTTCTTTTATTTTTAACCTCATTTTACACCACACAAATATATACATACACATACACATACTAAATTACCACCACATAAAATGCATTAAATAAAA